TCAAATGTATTTGTAATAAACAAAATGGCCACTAAATTACTCTTCTGGTTCTCCTTCCTCAATTTACCTAAAAATATGTGTATCGATATACAGGGGATAACTCCACCGTATAGTACGATTTTAAGGCGTGCCAAAGTTCCCGTATGAAGAAATAACACGTAAACAGAGGAATGAGTTACATGGCAGATCTAGACAATGAATCTACACGGCTCAATGCAAAAATCTTACTTTGAAGGCTTTGCTATAGAGTCCGAGCTACAAGTCTGATTTTCATGAGGGATGCTCCCATTTCATCCTCCAGATATAAACTATAAGTACTTTGTTTCAAAGAAACAAAACAAACAAACAAAAAGCAGAAAGAAAAAGAAGAAATGCATCCAAAGAAATCCTGTCATTTAGAAAACATATTTAACACTTGGAAGCTAAAAGAATAGCAAAAATAAAACTCGTTGGTTTTAAAGCAGCTTCATCAACACCATATTTTGCTATTTCCAGGGAGATGCTGTTATTAGGGCTGTTTACAGGGATCCCTGCATTCTGCAGTTGTGACTGGCCATCCTAGATGGCTACTAACTTCCAGGTTCATTCAAACCATCAACCCCCATTCTTCTCCAGTGAACTCTACAGAGGGGTCGTGGGGCAGGCGCATTCATCCAGACCTGCGAGAATGAACTCTCCCTACTGTCTAAATGTGCCAGAGCATTCCCACCTTTCCAAGTCCCCTCCTGCTCTATAACTGTACAGTTTTCAGGACAACTGTATACCTCTCAATTCAAAAGAGTCCATCTGCAATTCTTAAAACTCTGTATTTAATCACTGTGGTTCTCATCTAACTGTAGAGATAAATCATAAAAATCTCTGCAGTTGCCACCTCTGCTCTGGAGACTTAGAACGCACTCTGTTGAGCGCATCATGGAGAAAGTGTATGGCCAAAAGCTGACAGGGTTAAATTAGCTTCTACACAATAAAAAGTAATCAAGATATGGAATGGTTTCTTTTTTTTTTCCTTGTAAACTTTCATACTTTAAGCATGACTGTTAGCATTCCCAAATACACCCAGCACAGAACTGTAATACACTGACTGGTGCAGTGTGTGATGTAACATGTTACATTAACACTTCCGATTCTGGAATGCACTTATGTTCAATTGGCTCAAAGAGTTACATACAATTTTTTAAAGATCATGATTTTCATCTGCCACAGATTAAAAAACATTACATATCCCTGTATCTCCATAATTTATTCATTATTTCATGGTCCCAATTTCTATCGGGAGGGTCAGAAATAAATGCACTCAATGAACAAGTACTTACTGAGAGCATGCTATGAGTTAGATATTTATTGTGCTAGAAGTTGGGGTTTAATAGTGAGCAATACAGACACAATCCCTACCCTCCTAAGCTGCTGGTCTAGAATAGGAAGAAAATCCACAAACACGTGTGTAATTCAGTTAAAAGACCAAGAACATACATTCTTCCATCTAAGACTGGCCTAAACAGCCTGTTTTCAATAGGTGGAATCCAATCAATTATAAAGGTTTGCTAAATCTTCCTGTTTGATGATTAAGATCCTAAGAATCAAGATTTTAAAAACATGTAAAACAAGAACAGGTTAACAGGAAATATATCTATATCTTCAAGGAACTGAAAAAATTTCAGCATGGGATTCAAAGCCACTTGTTGTATATAGACTTAAAGACACATTAATACTAAATACTGTGACCTACATACTACAAATAGAAACATTTAGTTAATATTCATAAATATTAATCAGTTAAAGTAAATGTAATGTACTATACACCCACAAAGCATATAAAAACTTAAACCAAGTTAAAATAAGGTATTCTCTCACATATATATGTAGAATATAAAGTTTTCTTTGAGGTGTCGAAGAAAAACACTTGTGTAAATAAATTCAGAGAATGAATACGCTAAAGAAAACAAGAATTCATTATTAGATATGGTATTTTACAGTGGTAAGTTTCTGGGTTCATTTAAAAAAAAGTAAAAATCAAAAAATATTAGTACTATGGAATTTGGAATACACTGGCGTAATTGCTGTATGTGTATCAAAACACCCCAAATTTCACTGGTATACTTTCATCTAGGCAGGTAACCACTATTTTCTTTCTCGTTTCTTCATAATATTAATATATAAAATAATTGGTGAACAAAGGCAAAGGTCCCCTGCCAAATAAATCCATTTCCACTAAAATGGTGTCATGTCTTGAACTAAAATTTACTTTGGAAAATAATTTTATACTGAATGTCATTTAAATCTAAGAATGACCCCTCCATTTAAATAAGGTAGTTAAAAATATTGATAAATCTTGACACTGTGAAAGGATAACTCCTATAACCTCCTTTGGACAGGTGGGAACGGGAAGATTCAGTGAACTCAACCAAGCAGCCGATGGGAGAGGAGTTCTTCAAACAGAAACCCTCCCCAACACCTTGCCTGGTTCAAATCAACCATCATTTTTCCCCTGGATGCAAAAAATTGTGAAATCGCGCGCGCGCGCACACACACACCTGCATTTAGTAGAGAACATTTACTGTAGAAGTAGTATAGGTATCAAACTCATTATGTTACAAAAGCAACATACCTAGAACATGAAACTGTAACAAATCTTACATGATGCCTAGGGGTCCGTGTTTCTAACAAAAAGTTGTACAATTTTTAAATGTTACTAACGAACATAGATGCTAAATTAATGCCATATTCTTCCACCACTTCTAATAGGCCATATTTGGGGGCTGGGGTGAGGCTGTATTAAACCCCACTCAAATATCTAATAAGAGAAAAAGTTCTCCATTACTACCACTTTAGCAGTAAAACTGTTTCATTTTTTTGCTCATAAAATCATCTCCCCAAGGGCATTTTTAAAGCACTGTACGTTACTGAAATACACAGTATGTAATTAAGTGTCCATATATGTGTATTTGCCTGAAAGTCTTCCTCCTAGAGATTCAAACAGAGGCCTTCAAACAGACAAACCCCCGGGGGTTCTAACTCATAGCGGCTGGGAACCTCAAGCTGTCACATTTCAGACAACAGGGATGGCTTGAGAGATCTCAAATGCTGTATTCACAGCTAACCATAAACAAAGACTGTAAACAGGGCAAAAGAAAACCTATTCTTAAGTCTCTCTAAAACACATGCTTTCCCCTTTATCGTGCACTTAAACACTCTATGCCCTATTTCTCTTCCCCTCTCTATTTTTCTCAATCTTGAGAATTTGCAACATATTCAACTACACATTATTCAGTCGTTAGAAGTAGCCCAAAATAAGAATAAAACATTTTTTTTTAAATCTTCCTTTTCCGATTGCAGTTCTTCCCCTCCCCTGGCTTCATTCCCTAAAGCCCACCTCTTTTATCCAGCGCTTTGCCTTCTGTTCCTTATAAACATGTGCACATTTATCTAATCTGGTTTCAAGATGAAGACATAAAGCATGGCATGTGAGTTAACCATTTGTAACTATTTGTGATCATTATATTTTGTTCCCTCTTATAAATGATCCGGTAGATAAGCAGTTCAGTCCCAAAGGCAACTGGTTCCTTGAACCAGGAGATGAAATGCTCAAGAAAGAAACTGCATGCTCCTTAAATGTGAATTGACATTACAATATTTCTTTCTTCCAGACATGTCTGAGAAACATATTTATTATTCACGCAAATATCTTGAACACAAGTGCAGACATTTTTCAGGCCTGTTACTGCAAGGCTGTTTGCTCTCCCTACCACCATAGCTCAGAGTTATGTCGCGCTGGCTCCTATGTGTACCCTGATCCTTGATTCTGAACATTCTCTCAAAGATAATTATCAATAGAATTCCTATTTGAGAAATGGCATTTTTTGTATAAGTTAGTGTGAAGGCAGAATGTTGGGTTTTGTTTTGTTTTGTTTTAGAGCTAAAGGGGAATTTTTGCTATACACTTCCCGTTTTCCTTCTAGTCCAGATCCCAAAGATATTAAAATGCTGTCCGTTTTAAACAAAAGGTTTCTATTTGTTGCCGTGAGAGTAACTGAGAGGCTGCACTGGTTTTCAGTAGTAACTATTGTGAATTCAGGCCTACATCTGGGTTGCCTCATTAAACAAAAGAAACCCGTCGCTGTCAACAACCACACAGCACAACCCTCCCCGTATCCTTCCTCTTTATCTGGAAGGAATGGTGCAGACGAGAAATAAGCCTGCCACCATCCACTGGTCAAGAAACTCTTCTGGGTCCCTCCTTTCGGTGGTCTGGTGGCTAGAGAACAGCACTTGTGTGACACATCTGAGCTTGCCTGCCCGCCCCCCCCCCGAATACATAACCCCCCTTTCTTTGGAGGGCCAACCACTCGGCTCCCTCATCATCACTCCTTTGGGAATCCAGTCGCGAGGCAGCCCACCCTACCACCATTCCCTTCTGACCCCAGAAAGCACTGACAATGGATGCACACGGGCCACCCCACCGCACGCCGTCGCCCAACGAGTCCCGGCACGGCTCGTCACCCTCGGGTCACTCACACACACACTCACTCACACACACACACACACACACACACACACACACAGCTCCCCTCTCCAGCACGGGGCGCCATGGCCAAGCCACTGAAAGTTCAAGCCGGCTGCCCACCTTCCTACCCCCGCGCCTCTGCCCCGAAGTGATTTGCCATTTAGCAGATGCACAGCAGCAGATAAACGCACTCCCCGAAGGCACAGCCCTCGGGGATACCAAAAGGCACACGCCGAGGCCCGGGCCAGGGCAGCCCCGACCCCTCTGCGCGTGTGTGTGCGCGCGTGTATGCGCGCGGGGGGGTGTTACGCGCCCGCGCGCGCCCGCGCGGGTGCAGGTAGTGGCCGGGGGCGCGCCCGCCGAGGGTCCGGGCGAGCCACTGGCGCCCAGGGGCGGGGGCCACGAAGGGCAGCAGCCCCGGGGGCCCGGGGGCGACGGGCGGGGGCCGCAGAGGCCCGGCGGCAGGGCCCAAAGCGGCCGGCTCCGGGCTGGTACTCACCAAGCAGCAGCAGCTTGAGCTCCCGGCGGGCGTCCCGCTTGTCTCTGCGGAGCTGCCGCTCGATCTCGTCGTTGATCCGCCGGGCTTCCTTGGCCTCCTCGCTCAGGCAGCACGCCATGATGGACTCCAGAGTCATTCTTCCAAAGTGCCTCCGCTGCAGCCCCGCCGGCACCCCCTGCTCACACGCGCGCACACACACCCTCCCGCCCTCGCTCCCCCGAGGCAGCGGTGTCCGCCGAGCCCCCGCCGCCCGGGCGCGCGTCCGGGACGAGCTCGGGGAACGGCCGCGGGGGCCGCGGCCAGGGCCGGGGCCACCAGGTGGGCCGGGGGGTGCGGCGGGAGCGGGCGGCTCGGGCCGCCGGGAGGAGCGAGGCGGGCGCGGGAGGCGGCCGCGGGCGCTGGCTCGGGGGGCGCGCGAGGGAAGGCCGCCGCGCCCGGCCTCGCTCAGACACCCGCGCCTCCTTCCCTGGGAACAGGCGGCCCGCCTCGCCCCCCGCGCCGCCGCCGCCGCCGCCGAGGTTCCCCTGAGCCCTGCGCCCGGCGGCGAGAGCACATCCACCGGGGCGTCCCCGCAGCGAGCGGCCGCCGACGGCTCCCCGCGCCCGGCGCGCCCGCTCCTCGCCGCCGCCTGACACGGCTCCTGGGCGCCCTGGGCCCTGCCCGCGCCCACCACCCGGCTCGCGCGCAAACCCCGCTCGCCGGCCCGCCCGCCGCGCGCTCCGCCGCCTCCGCCTCCGCTCCGCCCCCGCCAGACGCCCACCCCCGGCCCCGATTGCCAGGCGCGGAGCGGCTGCTCAGTGCTCGCCCTCCCCCTCGCCACACACACACATTTTCTTCTTTCTCTGAACTGGAGCACAGATCCGGGAGGGAGGTGGCGGTGGTGGTGGCGGCGGCGGTGGCGGCGGCGGCGGCGGCGGCGGCGGGAGGAGCAGGGGAGGCGGAGGCGGAGGCGGAGGGAGGGAAGGAGGGAGGGGAGCGGGGAGGCGGTGCCGCCCGGCCCCTCCTGGAAGGCTTTCCTGGGCTCGCAGCCGCCCCGGCGCGCCTCCCGGGGCGGCTCTCGCCTGCCGCTCCTCGCCTGCCGCTCCCCGCCTGGGCCGGCCCCTCGGGCTCTGTGGGCGCCTCCCGCTCGGTGGGGGCCCGCGGGCGCAGCGGTCACGGCCGTCCCCCGGCGAGGGGCGGGCCGGGGCCGCCGCCGACCTGCCGCTGCCCGCCGGCCGCCCGGGCGTGGTGGAGCAGGAATATGGCGGCCTCGGCCCTCGGCGGAGTCGCGGGATGCAGCCCCGCCAGCCCCCAGCCCGGGCCGGCTCCACGAACCGGCCGCCGCGCTCGCGCCCCCCGCTCCCGGACCCGGCGCAGGTCGGCGCCCCGGGGCTGCCTCTCGGCCACTTCTGTGTTCTTTCCCGTCCCTATGTCGACAACGCCATTCGGTTAGAAAAGTATCTCGCGTCACCTCTGACCCCAATTCAGTCCTGGAACGCAGGATACACTCGGTCGTGGAGTGAGACTGAGGAAGAGGAGGAACTGTCACTGGTTCCCGGAGGGAGGGAGGCCGGGGGGGTTAACAGGCGAAACTGTCCACAAAGTTACGGGAGATAGAAGTCTAAATCCTGAGCTGCAAAATGAAGCTGTCGGAGTTTCCAAGAGAGTCCTGATGCCATTGAGGTTGTTTCTGTTTTGTTTTGTTACAAGCTCCTCTCATGTCTTAGAAAAAGCACACGATGTTTAACAGCCAAGTAATCAATTTTACCCTTCTAGCCCGAGACTGAATTACGGTCGATTTACGGGAAAATGCAAAATAATGTGGAAAAAAGGGAAAGAATAAAATAGGGGGAAATGGGGAAAACAAGATTGCCCCCGGCAAAATCCCCTTCTAGAGCCCACTTTCGATTGAGGCACTCTACTTTAAAATGTGTGCTTATTTTGTTGTCCTACTCGACTGATAAATGGCCAAAAAAAAAAAACTCGCTCAGTCAGGTTTTAGTTGATCTAATAACTGCAAGAGGTGAAAACTCAGATTGCTTCCTGCTTTAATGGAAACTGTGGTCTCAAGAGTAAATTGTATTTTGTGAAAGGAATCCCTTTTCCACATTTTATGTTTTCTGAGCTGTTTCTGGAGCAACCTGCTCACCCAGAGTGTAAAGTAAGGTCATGACTACTTGACTACTATTGCTACAGGTCAAGAATGTACATGGGCTCCTTGGATGACAGGTGTGTGACTACCTTCTTTCACGACACACACACACCAGGACCTAGATCAAACAAGTCATGGAGACATTAGATCTAAACTTTAGGCTCCCTTTTTTAAAAGAATATCTGGCCTAAAAAATGATTAAGTTTCACATAGGCCAGGAAAGCAGAGAAAACAAACCTCACCACCTTTATACGAACCCCTATAAAAAGCCACTATACTTTCTGTATATTTAAAGTAAATTTAAAGTTAAGTGACTAATGAAATTAAAGATTGAAATTCAATATGCAGAAATTTTAAATGGCTTCAGGGGAAACATTTAATCCTAAGTTTGCATCCTCTAATATATGTATATGTATGAGTTTCAGAGAGATACTAAACACCAAAAAAAATCAAATGACAGAAAGCTTCAAGTCTCTGGTTTCCTAGCCAAGGACTCTGAGATTTTCAAAAATGCCTCTCAAACTGTACTATCAAGCTATCAGGTAATCCATTTTGACTGAATTGACATAACTTTTGATGAAAGGAATTACACTATTTGAACACATTATAGGTACAATCAAAATCTGCTTTGTTACCCCTGAGTCAGGGGTACACCTAGGCACTTAGTTGATATTTGAATGGACAAAACAAATCAATAGGAGGATGTTTCTTCAAATATTGGAAAGAAATCAGGAAGTAAGGCAATACTCCTACAGTGATGAAGCCATATAAGATGACAAGAAGGAAACAGGAAATGAAAATTCAAAGTCGGAGCCCAGATCTATCCAGAAACCTTTGCATATATATCTGGAAAGCATTTGCCAAGCAAATATTCATACAACCTAAGTCAAGCAAACAAAATCCATGTGGAAACTCCTGAAGTTATTGACCATATATCGGAAGTAGATACTCTAAAATATATAACTGAACTTGGATTATATTAGAGTCCCAGCTCATTAAATTAACAAGTATTCACTGCCTACTATGTGTAAATAAGGAAAAAGTGCAGGAAGTGAGAGATCCAAGGTGAACACAGCACGGTCCTTGCCCTCAGTAGGCTTACAGTCTTAAGGCATGAGGCTCTGAACAGCCATAATAAAAGACAAAATGAAACCAATTTGTATTAAAATTGGGATAGACCTAACAGTAATAAAGGCATAAAAAGGCAGGACTAATTCATTCTGTTAGAGAGAAGTAGAGGACACTTCACAAGAAAGGGATGCATCTTACAGAATGAACAGTTCTTCCATAAACACATATATACATCACGTAAAGTAAATCAGCATTTCCAAATCACCCCCAGACAGACAGTGAGATGATAAACCATTTTGAGAATTCAAGGGCAGTTACTAGATGGCTGAAAAGCAAACCACACAACCCTAGGGGCATGGAATGCCAGAGGGAGATGTGATGACTGTCACCTTTTCTATGCTATCCCGAGGTGGACACCTGCCCCCATATTCCTGTCACCCTCTCCTGTGGGGACTGGAAAAGGAAAGCGGTCGAAGGCATCATTTAGTCTCCAGGGTGATCCTAGAATAAGAGAGTGAAAGGCTGAACTCTTGTAAAAGGAGTTCCTGGGGAGGGAAAAGCCTGCACTGTTCCTGTTCCCAGAATCACTTAGCACCCCTGTAATGGTCTATTTCTCTCTCGGTCTGGCTCTCTCTCTCTCCCAATATTAGAGCTACTTGAGAGCAGGGATCTTGTCGTTCATAACTGTTTTCAGGGCACCCAAAAGAGTGCCCAGCCTGGAACAGATACCCAGTAAGTGATGAATAAACAAAAGGATACCAGAACCTACCTCGACAACAAACAAGACTCCCTGTCCCAGGCAGTGTGTTAAGCCAGATGCCTGAGGCATACGAAGCCCTTCAAGGCTTAATAATCTGTTTGGGCAGACCGTCCACATGCATAAAAGAATAAACAAGAATGCAAAATGAGAAGCACTCACGGCTAACCTACAGCATAGAGGATGGACGGCTACAGGAGTTCAGAAGGAGCGTGGGTAGACCCTCGACGGTCACCTGGAAGACCAATTAGAAGTCAGCATGAAGCACTGCAGATCCTACAAGAGCTGGGAAAAAGCTGTTCTGTGCAGAGCTTGCTGGCACAGCTGTCTAGCCACAGAATAAAGTAGCCTTGCTAGTTAATGGGAAGGCCGGCAAGCAGGCCCAGGCTGACTCAGAGAGCTGCAAATGGCGCCCCCTAGAGGGCAGTTTTTATAACAGCAGAAAGATTACGATTCTTTGTTGCAAGAAAGAGGGTTTCAGGGCCAACATGCGGACATGCGGAAGATGGAAAACCAGGTATGAAACAGAATAACTTCTTCCGAAAGAGAAAACACCCACCCTTCAAAGCCACCACAAGGATATTCTAGATGAAGTCGAGAACCTCGGGGACATCTTGCCATTACCACCCTTACAGATGCATCCGAGTGATCCTCTCACTATCCACATGCATCGGTTTTGTGGTTACCCCAGATTAGCATTATCAGGGGGAGCGCCGCACCTCACGGTGTAAAGGCCACCGAGTCCCACGAGACTGGAAGGCCCTGAAAGGCTGACCAGATGGTGGGAGCTATTTTTAAGCTGAGTACACCAGAGAAGCCATTTGCTAATGTTTGATGAATGAATGAATGAATGAGAGCATATAGTGAGACCCCAAGTCACTATCCAAATGTTTCTGGCACCCCAAGGGTCAAGAATGACTTAGCTAAGATAGGTGTTTCCTTCCTGCTTTGGAGTTACTACAAGTTGGAGCCACCTGTCTCCCAAGACCCTCTACCTTTGCTGGCTTCCCACCTAAGACCAAGAGGGCAAACTGGTGGTCTTTGGCCTAAAGAACTGTCCCTTTTGACATAATGGTGCTATTGAAAAATTTGAATTAGCTTCCAGAACTTAAACATCAAGAGATTCACACAGATATCTAGATTTCAGTTCCTGGTCAAGATCCGACAAGCCCAGGCCTCTATTCCTGGATGACGACCATTCCCATCACCTGATTTACTCCCCATTTCTGTATAACTTGGACTAGTTTCTGCTTCCCGCTTAGTAGCATGTCCTCATGGGCTTGCCAGGTGGGCCTCTAAGGCAGTTAGCAGGAG